ATCACGACATCACACTTTTTATGTGAGAGAAAAAAACAGAACGGAGATTGGCAATGATACGAAGACAGTAAACATTCATTTAACACAGCAGACAAAACTAGATATCATTGAGATGGGAGCCATCTCTGTGGGCCTCGCTGTGAATAATGTGTGGTAAAAAAATTGTATCTTTATCATTGGACATGGGGTTGTCAACTGAAACCAAAGTTTTTGACCTTGACCTTTGACCTAAGAAGTTGTACATAAATTATGACACACCCTCTGGTGTTGGTTTATATACATACAAAGTATAAACTTTGAAATCATAACGGTTCTCAAGATATAGAGCGGACACGATCTTTACAATAGGACATGGGGTTGTCAACTAAAACTAAAGTTTTTGACCTTGACCTTTGACCTACGAAGTTGAACATACATGTGTATGTGTGTGTGTGTGTGTGTGTATGTATGTATGTATGTATGTATGTATGTATGTATGTATGTATGTATGTATGTATGTATGTATGTATGTATGTATGTATGTATGTATGTATGTATGTATGTATGTATGTATGTATGTATGTATGTATGTATGAGGTAGGTAGGTAGGTAGGTAGGTAGGTAGGTAGGTAGGTAGGTAGGTAGGTAGGTAGGTAGGTAGGTAGGTAGGTAGGTAGGTAGGTAGGTGGGTAGGTAGGTAGGTAGGTAGGTGGGTAAGTAGGTATGTAGGTCCGTATACACTCGCTATCGGAATTGACAGAAATGTGTCACTAACATATTTACAACAGTATTATTCACAAGGACAATCCCATCCAACACAAAAGGAGTGCTTGGACACCGGGAAGTCTGTTATTATAGAAATTAAGTTTTAAAAGATTACCACATTCGGGCACTATTCTGGCAAAGTGTAAAATTTACGCTTCTGTGAGGGATTGCTGTTTTTTTTCATGGTATCACAATTTCCTCCACCAATAAAACTAGACTCCGATATTACTTAAATATTGTTGAAAGTGGCGTTAAGTTTCATAAGTAGAAGTTTATTTTGTTATCTTTGGGTCAGGAGGATATTTTGAAAACGGCATATTTATTTGCACCTTTTGCAAGGTCTGCTTAGTAATTTGCCATAAAATTATACTATGCTACGCCTTGATACCTTTAAATGCAACTGAATTCTGACAAAAAAATCCACACTTAAATCTTGTATCGATATTGTTATTTAACATCAGCGTAGTATTTAAACACGTCTAATACAAACGAAAATTCGGGAATGATAAATTTTCATTCGACTTTCGTTGATGGTAGCATATCTATGAAAACTAATAGTATTACATATTTAACCTCTCATTAATATCAATCAATTAGTCAATCTGTATATCAATCAATTAGTCAATCTGTAAATCAATCAATTAATCAATCAGTAAATCAATCAATTAGTCAATCTGTAAATCAATCAATTAATCAATCTGTAAATCAATCAATTAGTCAATCTGTAAATCAATCAATTAGTCAATCTGTAAATCAATCAATTAATCAATCTGTAAATCAATCAATTAGTCAATCTGTAAATCAATCAATGACAGTTCCATTAGGATTCTATTATTTCGAGGTTGTATTTTTGCATGACTTTTGTCTGAATTTTCATATTTGTTTGGAGTGTGACCTTCTCTTTAGTCCTTTTTTTATACCATTTACACAGAAGAAAGAAATATCATTCTTACAAACCTTTTATATGATTACATGAGGAAAAACAACTTTGTTCTTTTGAAAAAGAAGAGAGAAATTCAAACTCATAAGTCGAAAACAAACTGACAATATCATGGCAAAATAAAACGAAAAACAGACAAACAATAGTTTACATAACACAACATGGAAAACTAAAGATTGTTGAGCAACACGAACCAGGGCTGTTATACAGCTACGTTTTTTCGAGGCATTGAGGGTGGAAGAGCGCTACAGTGCCAGAGGATTTTTCAAGTCAGGAGCTTGTAATTCGTTATTTGCTGTCTGCCACATATTCATGTTTTCGTTTATGGTGTAGCATAAATCCGTCTCTTGGTTTTCTCGTTGACATTTTGTAATGTCGGGGCCTTTTAAAGCTTATAGGGTGGTATGGCGTTTGCTCATTGTTTAAGATCATACGGTGCATTTGAGTTGCTTTAATTCATTTACAAGAAGTAAATGAACACGGTTATGCATTCTTGTAAATGGATTAAAGCAACTCATCTGTGACTTAAAAAAAATAGAAAAAAAGTGCAACGTTGAGTTTACAAAAAAGAAATCTTCCTGTGAGTTATTGAAAAAGGGGACTTTGGATTACAGTAAACAAAATTACAGTACTATATATCATTATCTATTCTCTATTGCAGTTTAAGAACAATTCTACCCAAGCCGGCATATTGAGTCTTTAATCCATTTTAAAGCTTGTTTTTAAAGATGTCAAATGTTTCACTTCATGTATAATCAAAACGTGAAAAGCAGTATTTTTTATACCATCGTTAAATATTCTTACTAGAAAAAGTTGGAGGACAATTTAAATTCTTGAAGAAGGTATTATTTCTAATTCATTTGTTCGTACTTGTGTTTTTTTATAATCTGCTATTTTGTTATTTCACTTTTTTTCCAATGGCAGTCCAAATTTACCAGACCTTCATCCAGGATGGTCTATAGTTGTAAACTTTAATGTCATTTGGTCTCTGGAGGAGAGTTGTCTCATTGGCAATTATACCACATCATGTTATTTTATATCTTATTACAGAACCTATCTATTGTATGTATTGTTAATTTGTTCTCGTCCAGAACATGCATGAAATGTTTGCCACTGGACGTTAAGCAACCAACAATCAATCATTCTCTTAATCAATCTACTGATTAGATATAAAAAGGGGTGTGCTATATAAAAAGATATGTTCATTTGCTTGTCCCAATTCTGGAACTTTGTCATTGAATTTGATGTGCTTGCCATAAGTGACATGTGTTGACGGTGGCAGATCTTTGATAATACATTATAAATATATTCACAAGTTGTATAGTCTCGGATAGAGTTAGACTTTGACATGTTGTAAAGGCCTCTGTCTATTGTTGCCCTCTAGATTTGTTTTTTGTTTTAATATTTGTTTGTTGCTAAACTGACCCATACCCTTAACATGCTTAACCTTATCTTTTACATGAAACGGCTATCATTTTATAAAAAGCCTATTCTAAAATGGATATTTTTTAATTTCTGTATTATTTGGAATGTACTGTCAATCCCGTGAGTAAGTAGACAATGATGTATTGCAGTTCAATATAAATCCTTGAGTTAAAGAATTGTTGAAAAAGCATCATTTGCCGAAACCTGAAAAGAATAGTGAAAAAAACCCAAATTACTCATGATAGAAAAGTTGATATTACAAATTCCCTTTAGAATCATAATTTCATATAATTGTACGTGTACATAAAGCAACAAGGAAAAAGGTAAAGTGGAAACAAATAGGTCAAGTTTTAAAAGGATTACGATTCGTGTCCGGCGAGGGGGGGGGTTGTTGTTGTGTGGGGAGTTCCTTACTCGGATTTGTGAATTAAACCATGTTTGCCTCTTTTATGTGTTGTTTATTCTTTATCGTGTAATAGCGTGCTCGCGTCGAGTATGGGATGGAGGTCTTGGTTTCTATCCATGGCCATTCGAACCAAAGATTTGAAAATTTGTGTTTGCTGCTTCTCCGCCAATCACGTGACACTTATGAGTAAAAGCAAAGACTGGTTAAATCCAAATAAGAATAATGTGTGTCCAAATAGGATGAAATCGTAAAACTGCACGTTAATAATCTGGTCGAGACTGTCGGTCTAATATGAAGCAGGGCTTGTATTCATATCATATTAACATTTTCTCGTTATGATGATTTATCAAATCTGCTAATGGACGTTAAACCTCAATCCATCAATCAATACATCTATTTTGTTTAGTATACAAGTTTCCAAATTATGTCTATGTGATCACGGATATTTATGTTGGAATTGTGAACTTACAAAAATGCCAATTTAACATTACTATATTTTTCTAATTTTTTTTTTTTCAAACTATTTTTCAAAAGTTTTTGCTACTTCAATAATGTTATATTGACCTAAATCAATGATAATGATGATGTTTACAATCCAACTCCTGATTTATTCTAGCCTGCTTAGATTGTGAATATATAAAAATGTAATGCTGTTTCCCCTATCTATAATGATAATGCAAGTAATAGTAATCAGCCAGGTTTACCGTCTGTACATATATATTTATTGACATTCTCAGTAATGTAACGCTAACAACCTCATATTGACATCCTCAGTGATGTAACGCTAACCACCTCATATTGACATCCTCAGTAATGTAACGTTAACCACCTCATATTGAGCAATAATCAGCCATATGCAGTCATTTGTTTTATACCAACTTCTTTAAAGATTGATACATTGGTTATGACATTTTCATGAGGATTAGTTGCGATTACATTTATAGTCAGAAAATAATAATTAGACAGATCTAACCTGAAATATCTTTTCAAAATAGCAAATGCATTGTACTTGTCAGAATTATATAAATTTGGTCTCATTTTTTGTAAACATTGATCAACATACATAATCAGCAACATATGTTCTTAAAAGATAGGCAAAATGGACAAGAAATATTTGTAACTGTTATATGACGAATGGTTTCGTTTGTTATCAGACACATCTAACTGACAACTAAATGAATGATTTTTAGAACTATATAGAATGAGTTATCATGTTAGTTCTCGTATGACACTGAATCATTTGATATACACGTGATGAATATATATTATGTTTCATTCAAACATTTAGGATGTTAAAGAATGTTGTTTATATGTTGTTTATGTAGAATATATATATATACAATCGTCTATACATGGTTTTATTAAAACTTGTTAGATGTTTTGCAGAAGTTATGAATACTACGAAAAGGACAGACACTTACCATACACTGCACACAAACACTGATTCATTAATCTACCATCAAACACTAACATAATATTATAATCATCATTATAGAAAGGAGAAACATCATTACATGTAGCAGCTTACTGGGGACGGTTAAATGTAACCAAATGGTTGATAGAAGAAAAAGGAATGGATCCCATGGATAAGACATCTGAGGTAACATTTGTCATTTTGTACTTTGTGCTATAAATAGAAAAAAAACTTAAATAGTCTTTTACATTACATTGATCTCATGGATTTATTAGAATGTTTTTTACATGTTGTGCAGATTTCTAGACTACTCAATTGTCTATTAAAATAAAAAGCGATAGCACGTTTTTGCACGACTTCATGCTAAAGAAGAAATTTTGTTCCCATCAAAAAGGGAGGTCAAACTAGAATGACGGAGTTTCTGTGAACAGTAAAACCTTGTCCAATCCACCAAATAATAACTTTAACAAAACAATACTTTATTATAGGTTAATAACACAGTTATTAAACATTGTAAAACAACCAATGTTCCCTCAGGCTGCATTATGAAAAAGCATAAACATTGTTGAAAAACAAAAAATTGCAAACATCTTAATGTCATACATAAATACTGTGTATACAATTCATAAGACTTAGATGAATGTTCAATAACATAGCAGAAAATAAATGAAAAAATAGGAAATTTATATTAAACATCATGATCAACTGATTGATATGTTATTTCTACCATGTGGGAAACAAGGAAATACCATCTGTCCGTGCGTCTGTCCGGTCTTGTAAACGCCCACAACATACAACGCTAGCCATATTTGTATGACATTTATATCAAAGATTTATATCAAAAATATATTGGACGAGTTTTAAATCAATGTCGATCAATTATATCAAAAAGGTTCATATAAAAACAGGAAGATGTAGTATGACATGTATGACTATCATTGAGACAACTCGCCATCAGATACCAAATAAATTGGAAGTACGTATAGCCTTCCAAAATGAGAGTAACTAATTCTGCAGAGCAAGCGTTCAAAAACTATGACATGATACATTTAAAAAAACATTAAAAAGAAAAAAATCACGGCCTAATGTCTGTACAAAACAATATGATAGATGATTGTTGGTTGCTTAACGTCCAGTGTTAATATTTTATGCTTGTTCAGGACGATAACAAATTACCAACAAATACAATAGGTGGGTCATGTAATGGGGGCCGTTCGGGATGTAGGTCGGCTAAATTTGTACTGCCATTGGAAAAGAATAGGAACAGAACTTTTGCCTTACAACAGGCCACCTAAAAGAGTTGTTGCAGAGGTTCTTACACGAGGCATCAGATTTAACGTCCCCATTCTGACCAGACGCGGCTGCGTTTTTGTACATCCGGCACAGCCAAACGGACGCCATACTATGACAAGGGCTTTACTGACCGTAGGAAGAAGACCAAAATCTAGAGTGACTATATTTCCATTCCCCAGTCACTCTAGCTATAGGGTGTTACAAAACAATAAACGAAAATTGAACATGATATACAGCAAGAAACGACAACCACTAAATTAGCGGCTTCAGACTTGGGACACGTGCATACATGATGTGTTGCGGTTAAACATGCAAGCGGGCTCCCAACCCCCCCCCCCCCCCCCCCTAACATGGGACAGTGGTGCAAAATCACGAGAACTGTACAAAACAATACACGAAAAAACAAATGTGATAAACAGTATCAAACACTCAATAGCAGGCTCCTGGCAGGCTTGGAATGGTTATATATAGAATGCAGCGGGGTTAAACATGTTTGTGTGCACCATACCCTCTCCCTATCCTTGAGCAGTTGTGTAAGAGCTTAATATATATGTAAACATAAGCGATACACCGCCCATAAAAGGTTAAATTTACAATAGGGAACGCAAAACCGTCCTTTTTTGTCGTTACCTTTTTGTAGAGTTTCCCGTGTGAAACTGAAATATCTAAATTGAGGAAAGAACAGCTATAATTGCTTTTTGCATTTGATATAGTAAGTTCCATTTAGCAGTATATTCAGAAAATTTCTTAATAAATTAACAAAAAATATCAATATAAATAAATGGTAAGCGTAGTTTAATTATCAAATCACTGGAATTTAGACGAGTCTTAACTGAGTTTGGCCATCAAAAGTGATTCATAAGGAAACCGTCTGCTATTAAAGGACCGAAATTGGTGCACATAGGAAAACATATAACAGCTCGATAAGCTGTATTGCCGAAATGTACATCGACGTTGTCAAGGAGAAAAGGAGTAATACTATGCTCATGAAAAGCTGTAATTGGCATTTCTAGTTATAAAATACGAAGTCGTGACCCTACATTGTGCAGGGGCGGATCCAGGAGAGGCGTGGCGGGCGTGCGCCTCCCTAAAATTTGCAAAGCATGGGTTGACCTCAGCTTAATAAAGAATATTTCGATAATTTTACCGAAAAAACCTCATATAACTACTATTCATGCTTACTTCAACTGCTTATGAATTCGTCGAATGCCATGATAGACTGATTCGTGCCATAAATGTTTCCCATATACTGAAATGCCAAAATAATCGACTGCAGAAAAACATGTATAGCCCGAATAAAGTTTAAACCCCATAATTGCCAAAACACACTGTAATGAGTGGGAAAGAGCCCAAATCAGAAGATACAAATCAGAACTCTAAACATGCCCAACATAATAAGTTGACCTTTCTGTCAATCGTTTAGGCGTTGGTTACATACCGTCATTGTTTTCGATGGCGAAACATCAATAGATAAGGGAAAACTCAGGATTTCAGTCTTACCACATGATTTAAACATTAAACATGACGTAACCAATTCAACATTCGAACTGCAATTTTTTGTAGACAATAAAATAATGTATGAAATTTGTGTTTATACATTTATTTTACAAAAATTGCATATTTGAAAAAGATAACTAAACAGAGTAATCTAGTGTTGCGTTTTTAAAGTCCGTCAGTGTATTCAATATGTAAAACTTCAAGAAGAGTGATTATAAAATATTTGCCAAAAAATTATCTAAATCAGAAGTGAGTAAACATGGTAAATGATTGGTATTGCTATAAATTTTCACTTCTTCGTACTATGAACATCAAAATTATTTATTTTGTAAAAATATTTCCTTTCTCTATTTGAACTGTACACGTATACCTAACAACAAAAATTATTTTTATTTACCTGTGTTTAAAGTAATTGCAAATGGCTGATATTTTTGTTCAAGTATATTGTTTTTCTTAAATTGTTTAACATTTCACAGCGGTATAACATGTGACTTTAATTATTCTTCCCTTAGTTTATTTATTTTGTATTTGCATTGTATCATAGATCAAATTTATTTGTTCAGTGTATGTTCACTGGTGTTAATATGTCTTTTGATTGAGTTAAGCCATTTCAATTGATATTTTATAGTGTGTTTTTCTATGTTGTGATGTTACACTATTGTTTCAGATAAGGGTGAAGGTTTGGTACCATTAAAACGTTTAAACCAGCTGCAATTGTTTGCACTTGTCCTAAGTCAGGAATCTGATGTTCAGTAGTTGTCGTTTGTTGATGTGGTTCATAAGTGTTTCTCGTTTCTCGTTTTTTATATAAATTAGACCGTTGATTTTCCCGTTTGAATGGTTTTACACTGGTTGTTTTTTGGGCCATTTATAGCTTGCTGTTTGGTGTGAGCCAAGGCTCCGTGTTGAAGACCGTACTTTGACCTATAATTGTTTACTTTTATAAATTTTGACTTGGATGGACAGTTGTCTCATTAGCACTCATACCACATCTTCTTATATCTAAATTCTCAATAATTAAAAGTTATTGTTGAATTATTTTTTACCTTGTATTTGTATTTAATTTTATTTTAAGATTTTCTTTCAAAAATCGTTAAAATAAAAAAAAAAAACGATTAATTATATTTTAATTAATTGTTTTCTTATATGGAACTTTTTGGAAAACAGATCAAACAAATGCTGAAAAAACTACCTTTTCCGATGCGTAAAAATACATAAAATTTTTATTTTTTATACAAAAGACCCATTAAACAAAAAACCTAGAACATGCAGAAATAATATATACACGTTTAACCTGTATGCACGTGCGTAAAAACTGGTCCTGCTTGAATAAACACGAATTTCAATCGATTACTCACAGGTGACAATCAATTGAGTGTGTCATAGTAAGCTATAAAAGGCGTCAAAATGACAATGTACTCGCAGTTAATGAAAGCTTATTCAAAGCCAATAACTAATAAAAAATCATGTGTCTAAGATTAAAATATCAATCAAAATTGAGAATGGAAATGGGGAATGTGTCAAAGAGACAACAACCCGACCAAACAGCAGAAAACAGCCGACGGTACACATCTAACATCCAATGGATTTAGCGTAAAGACGTCATTAACATTCAGAGAAAAACATTAACTTGTGCAATGCCAAAATAGTAAATTGAAGCCATATAATTAGTTTCTGTTGTATTGTTGAAAAACTTGACATCGACATGGATAAGTGATGTTTTCTGCGACTTCTGAACTACATATACATGTACCAAATGTGCTTGTCTGCTCTATGGTCGGGTTGTTGTCTCTTTGACACATTCCCCATTTCCATTCTCAAATATAGTTTGTTACTTTTTTCATGTGACTTATTTTTGTTTTGGAGTTATCATGTGTTATAGCAATACCGTATGATGGTTTTAACTTATTTTAGACTGAATTATGTAATAATATATAACTTTCTAAACCTTCACTTCCGGTACACTCATACTAATTAGCTATGAATTGGGAGTTTACGGAACAATTTCAATTTGTCAAATAAAAGCAAGTCACATTTACGGTCACTTTTCAATAAAAAAAGAATGAACCAGCGAATTTTAACTTGGAAAAATCTTAATTGCATCACTATTTCACCGCCGCCTGGCGCATGGACCTTGCTGTTCTTTTCTCATTTTTATGTGTAAAATTAAAAAAAAAACTTTAATATTTCGATGTTTTCCCTTACATCTTACAATTACCGTAGTTGTATACGTGCTTCGACCAAACAGATCTATAACTACCCTCTATATATTTTTGTTTTTATTTTTGTGGTAGGGTTGCTATGTCATTGGCCTTTTTGAACCTCAACTCCTTTTATTCATATCGGAGCCATATAATACCATTATATGTCAATGTTTATATATATAGTGTGACTTC